GCTGCATGATGTTTTGTAACCTCATCTTTTATTTAACTATATCATGGATATCTTCCAATGTCAATAAATAAACAGTCACTTTTAATGACTGCATAGTATTCCATTGTATGCATATAGCAAAGTAATTAACAATATCCCTGTGGCTGGGGATTGACCAATTTCTAATAGTCCATTATCATAACTGATGCAACAGAGAATATTTCTATATACATATTCATATATTTGTCCATTTATTTTCTTAAAGGCAATTCCTAAAAGTAGGAATTATTAGGTCAAAAGTATTCATATGTATAATTTTGAAATATATGCTTGCTCTTGAGAAAGTTTCTACCAATTTACACTCTCGTTAACAATATATAAGAATTTATATCTCTCACCCTGGCTGGTTTGACTCAGCGGTTAGAGCGCTGGCCTGTGGTCCAGAGAGACCCGGGTTCGGTTCCTGCTAAGGGCATGTACTTCAGTTGCAGTTTGTCCCCAGCCCTGGTTGGGTCATGCAGGAGGTGGCCACTCGATGTATCCCTTTCACGTTGATGTTTCTCTCTCTCTCTCTCTCTCTCTTCCTCTCTCTCCCTCCCACTTTATCTGAACAAAAAATGGAAAAATGTCCTCGAGTGAGGAAAAAAAAAAAGAATTTATATCTCTCCACATTCCCTGCACATAACAAGTTATGTCATCTACTTAGTCAACCAAATGTAGCTGATGAAATCTTGAGGTATTAACTTGAGTTCCCCACCCTTTCTGCAAGCACTACTATATGTTTATTCAGAAACATATCTTGCCTCAGGGGATTTGACAGACCAAACACAAAGAAAGTAAAAAGGTCAATCAAAATCTTGGGGATGTAAAATATAGCATAGGGAATATAGTCATTAATATTCTAATAACTACATATGGCGTAAGATGGGTGCAAGATTTATCAGGACAATCACTAGTAAGTTATGTAATGTCTAATCACTGGAGGGTACACCTGAAACTAATATAATAGTGAATGTCAACTATAATTGAAAATTTTTTAAATAAGATTTTGCTTTTTGAATACTAAAATAGACTCTTGATACTTACAGCAGCATTGTCATTCTGAATTGCAGCAATCTGGAATATTACTATTTGGACTTTTTGAGAAGGAAGAGGAAAGTTTCTTCAAGTCTCATGAGACTAATTCTTAAAGTAACCTGGGCATAAACTGTTGCCAACTAGAAAGAAATGACCTCTTTTTCCCATCCCCCATCCAGCCTTAAAAAAAAAAAACAAAAAAAAAAAACAGGAATTTGAAGAGAAGTTGAGATGCGGATGAGTTGCTAAAAGACACCTGGATGCTGCCCCATATCTGGACTGGTAGTGTTGGGGGAACCATGTGGGTAATAGAATTCTCAGGTAAGTTTTTGGGAAGCTGAGGGTAGAATAGTTGGGTCTGAAGTTCAGTGACATGAAGGATAGTAAAGGGATTTCAGGAACAGAGGTAGCCAAGTGATAGCACAAGTCTTCTGGGACACAAGTCAAGAAGCCAAACTTTCCTGTTTCCGCAGGAGGGTGTAGAAGTCAACCAAGAGGAACAGCTAGCAACCCAAGAGACAAGCATCCATACAGGGGCACAGAAGTGGGAAATGCTAGATACCAGCAGGGTACATGCTAAGGATTGGTGGCAGGTAAAGCAACTATCATTCCACACTTGAACTAAATTTACCTAAAATGGCCAGTTTAATTGTATTGTCATCAGGCGGAAAAGGGGTTCAGGTTCAGCTTTTTAAAATTTAACAAGTTTTGTCCTGGCCAGTTTGGCTCAGTGGTGAGAGCATCAGCCTGTGGTCCAGAGAGACCCAGGTTTGGTTCCCACTGGGGGCATGAAGCTCGACTGCAGTTTGTTCCCGGCCCTGGTTGGGTCGTGAGGGGGGCAACCACTTAATGTGTCCCTTTCACCTCAATGTTTCTCTCTTTCTCTCTTCCTCTCTTTCCCTCCCAGTCTATATGAACAAACAAACAAAAATGAAAAAAATAAATTTAACAAGTTTCTGTTCTTGATCACCTGAATATATTCTGGGCTGTGAAGTCCAACAAGGTAGAAATGACAGAGTCTCCTCTACTTTTCTTCACATCGAATCGAATTCTAAGTCCTGTTCATTGTACCTTCAAAGTAGTTTCCCCGTGTTACAATCTGGCTGCCTTAGTTCAACCCTCATCACATCTAAGCTTGAGTCTTCCAGCAGCCTCCTGATGCATCTCCCCCTACCATTCATTTTCCCATCAAACATACTCAATCTATTCTATTATTAGAGTGTTATTTCTAAAATGCAAAATTGGATTTATCACTCTTCTGTTTAGAAACCATTTATAATACCTTCAAGTTAAAGTATAATCACGTTTGCTTGTCAATCAAGCTACCAATCCATCTCTGAAAAAATATTTCCACCCTTAGCTTTGTGATACACTCTAGCCACAACTTGGAATATTGCTCCTGGAAAATAACATGACTTCTTTCACTTTTCTATGCCTTCGTGTATACTAGTTCAGCAACAAAACAATAGAGGAAGAGGATCCACAGAAGTTGCAATAGTGGTAGGCATGTTTTCAATATCTTAGGAAGGTTCATGAAAAATTACAGATTTCTCTATGATGAGAATGCAATCTCTCATTTTTTTATGTTTTGTGTTATTTTTGGCTATCATGGCACCAACCGGTTTAGAAAACTGCTATAGCATGCTGGTTAGAAGCTATGACTAGAGATTGTATATATCTTTGCCAAATAAAAATTGAGAAATCTAGTTAATTGTTACTGATGTAATTTTAATATTATTTATATAATTCTAATGATAGACTCCATAGAGTCTATTGGGGAAATATTAATGAAAGTAGTGCCTGTTGGTAAAAGATTGGGAACAATAGAGGAAGGAAAGAAGGAAGGAGGAATGAAGAAAGTAGAGAGGGGGGAAGACAAGAAGGATGTTCATTGATGGCCATAAAGCTTTAAATTCTTAACTCAGTCCTCAAAATAAAATAACCTATAGGGTAGATATTTGTAAATTTTCTCATTTTTCAAATGAAGGAGCCAAGCGAAGAGAGGTTGAATAGCATATCACAGTCACTCAGCCAGCCAATGATCATGAAGCTGAGATTTTAACTGTGCTCCAGTGAATAGGAAGTCCATACTCCTCCTCTTACATCTGCTGTCTCTCCCCGAAATTTATTCTGACCTAATTGCTTATCTGATGTCCAAATTCAAGTGAAGCAGTAAGATACCTCAACAACTACATTTTTCTACGAGTAAGAACACATCTAAGATGTTTTTAGGGAGAAATAGGGCAAGTAATTAGGTGTGCAGGCTCTGAGGCCATAGTACTAGATTCAAATCCCCGCTGAACCACTGCCTCGTTGTGAAACTTTGGATACATCGTTCACCTATTCTGTGTCTCAACTTTCTAATCTGCTAACAGGGATAATGATATGTCTCCACTGGGTTGCTTTGAGAATAAAAGGAGATGATACATGTATACTGCTTACAGTAGTGTGCCAGGCATGGTCTCAAAGCATTTAACAATAGGCTCGTTAGAATCTGGATATGCTTGCATCTATCTTCCTTCAGCAAGTGTTAAATGCCTCCCAAAATAAAAAATTTTAATTATTGCCCTGGCCAGTTTAGCTCAGCAGTTAGAGCATCGGCCTGTGGACCAGTTACAAGTTCGATTCCCAGTCAAGGGCACATACCTTGGTTGTAGGTTCAATCCTCAGCCCAGCCCAGGCAACCAATCTATGTGTCTCTCTCATATCAATGTTTCTCTCTCTCTCTCTTTCTCCCTTTCCCTCTTTCCCTTTCTTCCTCATACTCTATCTAAAAATCAATGAAAAAATATCCTCGGGTAAGAATTTTTTTTAAAGTTTAATTATTAATTATCAAACAAATCATTAATATTTCTTCAGTAGATTCTATGGATTCTATCGTTAAAGTTATAGAAATAATAATAAAATTATATCAGTATTAATTAATAATTAGATTTCCCAGTTTTACGTGGCAAAGACAGCTTCTAACAGGCATGATATAGCAATTTTCTACAGTGGTTAAGGTCACTGTAGAAATTGAGAGATTTCATCTAATAATGGTGTTAACAATTAACTTTGTTTCTTTCTAAGGTTCAGGAGCAAAAGTTTAATGATGGAGACACATTAAGGAAACCCACAGTGCACAGGGAGGGTTAGGCCCCTCCCTCTAGAGTATAACAGGCAGCAAGCAGTTTACCTCTAAGTCAACAGTCTATCTGGCCAGACCCAAAATGGGTTGAGCTGAGAGACGTTGCTGCAAGCATCAGCAAACAAAACTTGTTATAGGACAGCATTGTTTGGAGTTCTAGGAAAATAATTATGCAGACTTATAAAAGGTTCTTCAAATAAAATAACAAAAAAGGATAAATTGGCAGATAATAGAAATATTATTCTTCACAATTTAATGTTTGTCCACTCTTATCTTCAATTTCACCACTTCCACATTTTCTTGTACTACGTAGTGGTTACACAAATTGCACCGTATGCTATTTCAATAGCAGCCATGTCAAAATATCTACTTTCCTGACTCTATCCCAGCTTTACACACCACCTCCTACAACTGTGTTTTCCAAGTTTATCTGGCCATCAGCTTCATGTGGGCACTTATTAAAACACAAAGTCCTGTGCCCATCTTAATTCTTAATATTCTTAATTTTGGGATTAGAATGAAGCTAAAGAATTGTTACTTTAACAAGTGCCTTCAATACCACTGATCACTCATTCGCATGTAAGAGTTAACAGGTTCCTCGTCAATGCATAATTTTAAAGGCTAACCATGAAAATGGTTGAAAATCATTTTCTAAAAATACTTGGAAAATTTTGGAGGCCCGAAGACATTAATTCACCACTAATGTCAAATGTATCTTAGTACAGAGTGTCTCTTCACTTTCTCAGCTATCTGCTCTTTTTTCCCCCCTCTCTCCCTTGTTTCCTCCCTTCCCTCTACCCCTTCCTTTAACACTTACCTGAGTTCTTCTCTGACTTCCACTGCCGTGTTCCCTGTGATAATGAACACTTCGTTCATGTCATCAGTCAGCATGTTGCAGGCATAGCTAATGTTGATGGCAGTTTCTGATACAAAATAAAGACTACTTCAGTCAGAGCATTACTTAATGGTATACTTATATAAAAGTTTTTGTGGGGTTTTCTTTCTGTAAAAGTTTTGAAACCATTGCTGTATTTCCTTGCAGCTCACAGGCTCACGTAGCGTCAGAGAGAGCATAACAGTGACGCTGCAGGAGGCCCAGAGGGAAACTCAAAGCCCTTGCTCCCATGATCAGATCTGTGAATTGCTAAACCCATGGATCGGTAGCAACATCTATGAGCCTGCAATTTTCTCATCTGGTTTTTACTAGAGGTCTAAAATACCACCTTCGGAGAGCTAAAATACTGAACTTAGCCATTTTTCAATTCTGATATGGTAGGCAAATTGAAAAACAACTCACAAAATGTTCAGTTGGACAGCAAAAATGCTCCTATAAAATGTTTATAGTTCTCCCACATGCAACATTGTCCTTTTCCTATTAAGTGAATAGACTGCTGCTTCTAGATAACTAGAAAATTACATGATGTTGGGCATTCCTTCCTCTAATTTTATAAAAATGGAGCCTGGGATAGTTAGGTAACCATTCCATTTTCAATAAAGTCATTTGATTCTAATTCTTTTGAGTTCTTAGACTCAACCTAATTCTATGGAGTCATTAGATTTGTCTGTCCTAAGTCAAGGATGGCAACTGATAAAATCTCAGCATATTTTTTGTATAAATCACAAAATTAAAGCTAAATAATACTAACCTCGTGGATATCCGTAACTAACTGAACAACTATACCCACTGATCAACACCAGACTCCAGGTATGTAGTAACACACCACAGAGCTCAACTGTCTATTGTTTATTTTTTGTGATCATTGATTTGGGTGAATATATAGAGAACTGATCTATATTCTAAAAATATCTAACAGGTAGATAGAATCTTAAAAACATGTGTTTTCCAGTTAACTGAATATTTCTGGTTTACTGGGGACCAAGAGTGAAATCACTTTTGTTTTAACCATTACTGCTAGCAATAGATCCAAAATGTATTAATCCCATTTTCTTTCTCAGGAAACACAGTATTATGCACACAATGACTCTTTCTCTGATGACGTGGCATTTTGTCGTGCCGAAAAGTGGGTCACTTTTCATTGTACCACTGCATGGGAAGACCTGAAATTTAGCCAGGTTGCTGTAGTACAACTGTAGGGGTTGTTAAAATACCAAAATGTCTCCATACCAGTTGATAAACAATTGCTTCCCTGAGCCTCCCAAAAACCTTCCCACTACCCTGATCCTGCTAAGATCCCCACATCTCTCTACAGAGCATCAAGAAACTAAAGGAGCCCGGCCAGTGTTGCTCGGTGGTTTGAGCATTGTCCCACAGACTGAGAAGTCCCAGTTTGATTACCAGTCAGGGCACATGCCCAGGTTTGGGACTCAATCTCTAGTAGGGGGCATGCAGGAGGCAGCCGATCAATGTTTCTCTCTCACACTGATATTTCTCTCTCCCTTTTTCTCTCTCTAAAAAACAAATTCATAAAAACATATTTAAAAAAGAAAAGAAACTAAAGGAGTAGCCCTAAGGTCTCCAATGTCCTGCTTCAGTACTTTGCCAGTCTCTGTCCTGATTGGAGGCAGTGCTCATAAAAAACAATACGTAGTTAAACAGTTTTAATTCCATTGTTGCCTATAGGTTTACCAACTATAGTTAAGAAGTACATTGAGTTGAAATTCAACAGACCCCAGGATATACTATAGAAGATATTTTCTTAATTTGTTTTTGTTTATTTTTAAATAGTAACTTCTTGTATTAACTTTCCTTTTTGTATTTCAACTCTTTCTTATATGAAGGACTGGGCAAATATCTAACTAATTAAACTTTCTGATTAGTTAAAATTTTACCATATAAATTATTGCCCTCTGTTCAAAACATCATTATCCATTTTCAAATTACCTTGTTTGTCTCCTGTTAGGACCCAGATCTTAATATTGGCTAGTGATAAATTTGTAACCGTTTCAATAACACCTTCTTGTAACTTATCTTCTACAGCAGTGGCACCTAGAAGCTTTGTTGAAAAATAGAGAATACCTTATGTTAGTGCATGCAAACAACATTTATAATATATGACTTTCGGTCACTGAATTCAGAGGTCAAGGAACATGAATGGAAGGCAGAAATTATGATGTACTGATATAGCAAGCATCCCATTGTGTACAGAAGTGGGTTGAGAAAGACCCAAGAGGAGTTTCTCAAATCAAGCCAACTGATAGGAACACCAATTAATGGCAGAGATCCTGGAGGTTAGCATAAGCAATCAGAAGCCATTTGGACTTAAGAACGCCCCAGATGCTTCCCCACTTATGTTAACATGAAAGGGTCCAAAAAAAGAGCCTTCATCTCATAGTTGGGTTCACAAAAAAGTAGAGCCATTTTCCTAAATTAACGAATCAGCAGGTGTCATAAACCAAAAAGTAAACATTTTTCTGTACTATTTCATCCAAAGATGGACAAAGCATGCTCCCTTAGTACCTCACCATAGCTAAGCATCCTGGCCACTGGGACCTCAGGGAAGAGTAGTTTCTAGAATAGATCTTACTCTCATACTCTGGACAGCACAGATATCATCAGAATCTCATGGGTCTAAGATGGTTTAGAGCTATAACCCCACTCTTCATGGCAACTGTCCCTGGATCATAAGGCAGGGAGGGGAGAAAAATAACATCAAGGACATATCAAAGGTTGACAAACAGTATCTTCTACTCGAGGGGACTTCCAATTACATAAGCTATAGCTAATAGAAATAATCCTCTAGGCTCTGTAGGGCCACACATGGCAAACTCAAAGCCAGCATATAACACATGATTCAGTGTTTGAAAGAGTAACATCTGCTGTGTGCAAGATGAATTTAGCCAATGAATTATTCCTATGCTAGATCTCTAAACTCATGCTATCCTCTCTGTAAACACAGTCATGCTTCTAAACCCATACCATCAAATCCTGTTCGATTTCTTCATACAGCCCAGCTATCCGTTCATCCCTCTCATCTATGGCAATATTTGCATCTTCAAGCATCTTGTGCCACTCTTTAAAGTACTTGTCATCCAGATCTCTGTATGCGATGGCCAAAGTTCGAAGGCCTTCCCCTGCAAACTCCTGCCAAAGCAGACATTGATTTAGGCACCATCCAATGCAGTAATCATAGTAAGAACAACAACAATACTAGATAAGGAGTTTTGCACTCAAATTCACCTTGTCCCAAGAGCACAACTTGGCCATCCTAACCTCCAACTTTTTAATCCCCTTGGAAATGGGAAATAATGTTTGTATTTTGAATTTTAGTTCTATTGGGTTAAAACATTCAGGAGGGCTAGCCTTCCCCTTAAAAGATATCTAAAATGCCTGCTGATGTGTCCTAGTTGAGAGATGATCAGAAGTGCCCAGAACTTGAAATATCCATTTGTACCAACATATATTGGTTTCCAACCTATCCTCTGCCTGAAGGAAGCCCTCCAGGCAGTGAGAGGGACCCAGCCTGTTCCATGGTCCACTCAACCTCCAGTGGAAAGAAAAGGGCCCTCAGCGGAGCTGTAGCTCTCAAATCAACGGCAGAGGCTCTCTGAAGGGATTGCAGCATGACATCTCACCCAAATCTTCTCACGTCCACCCTAACAATATAGCTATGTCTGAAACTACTTCTGTTTGTGCTTGAAATTTTCTATAATAAAAAGTTAAAAATCAATAATAGATGTTAGTCAGGTAATAGAAGTGTAAGCCTACTAATTAAAGTTATGTTATAACAATAACTTCTGGGGAAAAGCAGAGAGAAAGGCAGAAAGTCAATATAAATGTTTGCTTCTGGGAAATAGTACTAGAAGGGGAGGCTGACATTTCATTCTAGAACTCCTGTAATTTATGTAACACTATATATATGAAAGTTTCATTTTAATAATAAAAATGTTTTAAAACTTTAAAGACATCAGGTCAGGTTAGTTTTAAAAAATTATTTTTTGTAAACTGTTTTCTATGGAGTTAGCATTCAATAATATGTCGATTTAATGGGAGAATTATGCTTTTCCTTTCATGCCTCAGTAAACTGACAATCTTAAATGATACTTCAGGTACTTGATCCTTCTAATAGAAAATACATTTTTTTTTTTAAGTAGGAAACTGGTAGTTGCTGCAATAGCTAGAAACATATGTAGATTGCTTTGGGGAAATGCTAAAAACCTCCCACTCTGCCTAGCCCTCCAGTGGTCATTTTATGGGCCTGTATTCTATAAGAGTCTTTATAGCCATTTCTTCCCTTTTGGGTATTGCCATTGAACAAATCTTCTCTGTGTGTTTTGGCTTATGGAACACACATAGGTTTGTGATCACACAGAAGTTAAACCATGACACAGCCTAATTAGGTTAATGGAAAGAAAAGTCAGTGTAAACTGCAATGATGTGGTTTAGCCCAGAGAGACCATGAGAAAAATTGTCCCAATTTATCATGTAGGCAGTGGGTAGTGCTCTGGATATTGCAATCACATTTTACAAGCCCTGCCTTCCAGGACCACCACCGGGTCCCCTACTGATCCAAACATGGAGTCACTGTGTTGTAACAATCTTTTGTCCTCTTAATTCGAACAAACACGTCTTTGCCTTTAACTTGCAACCCCGCTGGGCATTCCAGTGCTTTCCTCTCTGTTCTGTACAATAGTGAATCAACTCTAAGAAGACATTACAAAAGGAGACAGATGATTTAAGTTATTTAATTAGTACATGAAATACGAGTTGAATCCTAAATGAGCACTTGAGCAAGGTTGTTTCCTATCATTAAACAATTCCAAATCAATAATTAAATATAAAATTTAGACCTCAGAATTTGAAAGTCAAAATGAATACAGTGAATGAAGCAAAGAGCAAGTCAAATTGATATTACCTGAAAAATAAATGTCTTTTGCGTAGAAATGTAAAAAGACCAAATTAGACTTCCTATATTTTAGTCTGAAAGGCAAACATATGAAAATCCAGGGCCTTGGTGTTTGAGCAATGGCAAAAATTCAGATACTTATGATTCCAATGTTGTTCTCATAAAAAAAAAAAAAAAAATTAAAGACCATGCCAGCCTTCTGGAAGAGATTAAAAGAAAATCCAGAATGCTCTATTGGAAAGACAAAAACAATAGCTATGTTTATACCCAATATTACTAAACCATCATTCTTTAAAGTCAAGCAGAGTTGTTGTTGTTTATTTTATTTGTTTGTTTGTTTGTTTGTTTTTTAAGGATTCAGAGAATGTTTTATATTAAATACAGGGCTTGACAAAGAACATGAATCCTCAATAATTTTTTAGAGAGAAACCAATGAGGAAATGAGAGTTTTGACCAGTTGCCCTTAAAGTTCATATTGGGTTAAATAGACTCTCAAGCAAATACTAGAGGGACACTTGAATCTCAGGTTTAAACCAGGTAATGCTCATATTTATTCATAGACTCTTACTCTTTGGGGGGAAAAAAAAGAAAGAAAGAAAGTTTGCCAAAAATCACCCCTGCTCCCTTCAGAAAGCTTTTGGAGAGAAATTATGCATAGTTTCACAATGTATGCAATTGGTAACTTCAACCTAAGGAACGTAAATGACTCATCATGATTTATGTCCTGGATAAAAAGACCCCTGGAAGAGAAAATTGGCTACAGAGACTATTTTCCCCTCACCCTGTAAACACAACCCTAAGCTTTTCACTGGCGATGATCATGAGAGATTCTGTTGGTGCCAGACACATTGGCACTCAGGTGAAAGCAATTGTCCTCCCTGACCCAGTCTAGTCTCCCAAGGGGAATGGCCCCAAACTGCAGGGGAGTTCCAGTAGGTTTCCCTAAGTGTCCTGAGCGTTCTCCTGGCTGGAGTTCAGGAGCCCACACTCAAGGGCTACGTCTCAGCTGCTGTGTGTTAATCCACCTGTGATGAGACCAACCAGACTCTCAGCAGGGCAGGGAGTGGGTCCAAGTGCCAGTTTCCAGACGTTCACTAGCACAGTTTCCCGTGGAACCACTCTCCACATGTTTTCTATTTCAGAAGTCAGATCGTTTAGCTGATATGATTTAAATAAGACTCAACCATAGAAAGTGGCCCAAGGGCCATTGTGCTAACCTTAAGACAGAGGCACTTACGCTGATATGGTCTGACGTCAAAGTCAGAAGGTCTTCACTGGACGGATGAAGTTTTTCAAAGAGAATAGTGTCTGCTCCTTTGGAATAAAGCTTTATCTGTCCTTCCGGGTTTCTAACTAAAAGAGAAAAGTTTGGAAAGTAGATTATAATCCATAAAATCTGTCACAACTAGGTTCTCCCAGGGCTCCAGCCAGGCAGTTTGGAATGTGCATAATGTTTCAGCCAGTAGTAAAACAACGCAGTGTCTCTGATTAGAAGGTTACTACCTAAGTCGCTTGGCTTTATTCCTGTTTTATTAACTTAGAAATATTTCATCTACTGGAATCCCTTGATTTCCCAAACTCAGAAACAAGTGTTTTTATTCTGATGAGTATGACCTTCCTCTTTTCCTTGCTTACTATTTCTGAAGGTTTGATGCCTTTAAGTTAAGCCTATATTGAGCAGAATCACGAGGTTTATTTGCCTCTTTCCTGGTGTGACATTCAAGGCCTACCATAGGAATCAACTGTCAGTGTTATGCCACATGATCTCCATATGGAATTCAAGCCATTCACAGCCATGGCTTATGCATTCGTTCTCAGCCCTTGCTAACATAGTTCTTTACCCCTTAACTCCTTGGAAAAGCCCTTTCATTCCAGGTGGTTCATTCTTGAGTCACAATCCTGGCGGTAAGCATGCCTCATAGGGGGCTTTCAAAATCAGTTTCTACCTTCTTCCCACTAGAAACCTGTGTTAGTATGGCTGTGTGGGGTTTTTTTAATCCTCACCCGAGGACATTTTTTCTTTTTTTTTTTCTTTTCTGTTCAGATAGAGTGAGAGAGAGAGAGAGAAACATCGATGAGAAAGGAATACATCGAGTGGTTGCCACCTGCACGACCCAACCAGGGCCAGGGACAAACTGCAACTGAGGTACATGCCCTTAGCGGGAATCAAACCTGGGTCTCTCTGGTCTGCAGGCCGACGCTCTAACTGCTGAGCCAAACTGGCCAGGGCAGTATGGCTGTGTTTATAACCTGCCCCTAGGGTTGGGGAAAACGGTCTCCACAAGGCTCACCTCGTCTCTAATCCCCTAGCCTTCCCCGGATGTCCCATGTGTTATTGTCTGACAAGTCTTTTTTGTAAATGACATTATACTTGGCCTACCTTTGTAAGCTTGGTTTTATAGCTTGGCCTATACTAGGCACTTAATTATTTGCTGAATGAATGAGTGACATGGTAGTGTGTTTCTTTCCAGAAACTGCCTATAATTTAAGATAACTGCCTGGCTCACAACTTTATGGTCCGAACACTCTGACCATGCTTCATTGAGTCATAGATTATACATGCTTTCCACTCAGTGATATCTTTTCACTAAAGATAGAACGTCTCAAAACAGATGAACATAAATATGGACGACGATTAATTTAATAGGACACAAAATGTAGAGCTTGATTTAAAGGAATATAAATATTATAGCACAATAAATTACTTTTCCCTCTCACCTCTAAGGACCCTTAGTCAACATTTAATCTGTTCTAGTTTCCCCAGTTTAGATAGATCTAATGCACCCTGGAAACTTGTTTGTACTGAGACTTGTCTAAATTCATCATCTCGTCTAAGATCCTTGGTCAGTTTTCCTAGTTGCCATAACTCATGCAGTTTTTCTTGTTCTCTGGCTATAATTTTCCACATTAGGGAAAGAGAGAGAGAGAAAAAATATGTAATTTATTTTATTGTTCAATTGGGTGGTAAACATTTAATCCTAGAAATGACTTCCTCTTACTTTTATAACAATCCAGTTTAATTGTTTCCCCCATACTTTCTTCTCACATCCCCAGAGCTGTAAAAGCAAAGGATGTCTATCCTGCATTTGCCAGTGTGAATTCTCTATGATCACTTTTGACAGTTCGGACTAGGACATCTGTTCTCAAACTTTTTGGGTCTCAAAACCCCTTTACACTCTTAAAACATCATGAGGACTCCAAAGAGCTTTTCATGTGGGTTCTATCAATATTTACCATATTAGAAATTGAAATTGAGAAATTTTATTATATTAATATAGTCTTACAACACTATATAATATTGCTATAATGATAATTATTAAAATAATGAACCTATTACAGACTAACATAAGTAGCATTTCTAAGAAATATAGCCATAATTTTCCAGAACAATAAAATTTAGCTTGGGGAGTGGCATTGTTTTACGTGATTACAGGTCCCTTTAATGCCTGCCCAAATAGAAGACAGTTGGTTTTCATATCTGCTTCTGTATTCAATCTGTTGTGATATTACACAACATGTGGCCTTTGTAAAACTGCACAGTACACTCATGAGAAAAAGAATGAAAGATGCATAACATTAGTATTAGTATGAAAATATTTTTGTTCTTGTGCAGCCTCTGAAAAACATTCAAGGGTTCCTAGGGTACCCCAGGCCACACATTGAGAACCACTTGTCTAAGGAAATCAAAAACCCACTGTGATTTGCACAAATCCCTTACCATCTCTCTGTCTCAGTTTCTACATGTGAAAAGATTATTATTATTTTTTAATCTAACTTCTAAAGTTCTTTTCAACTATGCAATTTTCTGCTATTCAATAAAGATTTTCCATCTCTGAAGCCTTCTCCTAACCCAACATTAGCCCCTTTAATGGACACATTATGTTTCTTCAATAACTAGCTAATCCTCCTGTGTCCCCAGTATCAATAACCAGATAGATTCACCATTCACTTAGTCTCCAAATCAGATGTCTGGCCATCATTCAAAGCTCCTCCCCCTCACATCCTACATCTAAATGAAGTCATGGATTCCTCTCTTTCACCTTCTCTCTTACCTAGATTATCACATTAATCTAAATGGTTTTATTCTTTCCAGTCCTGCTTCCCCCCAGACTCTTAGGTAATCCAGACAGAATCATCTTCCCACTGCTGCTTAGAAACCTTCAATAGCTTCCCTCTAACCTTAGATCAGGTGCAATTCTTCAACAGGGCATGAACTGAGGTCATCCAGATCCGCCCCTTTCCAGCCCACCTCCTCCCGTTTCACCATCTTCCCCTCAATGCTACCGCACAGAACAGTTTTTAATCCCACCTTCTTAGCTTCAAGTCTCTGGAACCCGGTCAGCACTTAATAAATACTTTCTTAATTGAGCTGAATTATAATTATGCAAAATTTATCTAAAGTAGCAGCTTGCCTTTGTGACATAAAGGAAAGGAAAGGGTCAGAAATTGCTACAGATTTGTGCTATAAGAGTAAATGCAATAGCAATGTTGTGAAGGGTGGCGAATACTCTGCTTTGCCTGACATGTGGCAGTGTGATCTGTGCTTTGATAATCATTCAACAGTTTAGAGCTGAGCAACTCTAATCTAAGGATTTTGTAAGTGCGCTGGCCGGTTTGGCTCAGCAGTTAGAGCGTTGGTCTCTGGACCAGAGAGACTCAGGTTCAGTTCCCGCTAAGGGCACATACCTCGGTTGCAGTTTGTCCCCGGCCCTGGTTGGGGTTGTGTGAGTGGCAACCAGTCAATGTGCCTCTCTCATATCGATGTTTCTCTCTCTTCCTTCCTCTCTCCCTCTTGCTCTATCTGAAGATAAATGCAAAAATGTCCTCGGGTGAGGATAAAAAAAAAAATTAATACGGTTAAGATTTTGTAAGGGCTTTTCAAGGAGCTATTATAATTTATTCTTCTTTAATGATTACCTGCCACTAGCCTCTCTTAATAACTATCTTTAAATTTTATCTCAATTTTTTTTACATAATTAGTAGAATTTGTGCTTCAAACCTATATAAGATTTATATGTTTATCAATATAGTATATTCTAAAACCTCTGACATAATTCTCTATAGAAATCTATTTTTGTTTACATACCTCTAAATTAAATCAGGGCTCTTGCTCCAGAACAAAAGTACTACTGGTATACATTTATGATTCAATAAATGATTGTCAAAGGGGGGGGGGATGAGAAGGAGGAAAAAGAGGAAGAAGAGAAGAAGAAAAAGGAGAAGGGGAAGAAGAGAAGGAGAAGGAGGAAGGAGAGGAAGAGGGAGAGCAGGAGGAGGAGGGCAGCACATGTCTGAGCCTTCACATCAGGGTGTTGTCCCCACACACCAAGCCATGTGACAGCCATGAGACTAGCATTGTTTTTGCCTTGTTATCAAACAGAGACTTTTCTACCCTTGTGGAGTCCCTTTTTCAAACTCTTCCAGATGAAAACCAAACAGAACCAAAACAAAGCCCTCAAGCCTCCATGCTTTTTGTGGTGGAACATTACCTTTCTTCATATGGGATCCATTAAGGCAAACATCTGATGTTTGTGGTTAGGCTGTGATTTCTCCACAGTCTGTAATGGTGACTGATGCTGGGGAAAAGCCAAAAGCTTCCCTGTGTAGCAATCTTAGGTTTTTGTCAACACCCTCAGAGCCAGTTCTGGGCCAACCCAACATCAATAACACCTCCCCTGAAGCTGTAAATAGAGGGTAGCTCCTGATGATACAACGTTAGGCTGACATGCAAAGCAGCATCCGTGCTCACTGGTGACATCAATGATGACTGCCTATAGCTTGTTATTAAAAATACAGAAATAAACATCCTCAATGTTTGGCTTTCACCTGCTGAAAGCAATCTCCCAGGGCTAATTTCCAGTAGTTAAAGACCCCAAACCCTACAATTACATATACACACATGTTTTCCACAGCAGAAATTGATTTAAGATGAGGATCAGGATATTCATAAGTTACAAAGTATTGGGTTAAATTTTATTTAACCAACATTTGTAGAAAAACCTACTGTGTGCTAAGCTCTGTGCTTAGTCCCAGGCAGTTTAAAAAGACTAAGGCATGCTCTGACTGGTGTGGCTCAGTTGGTTGAACATCATCCTGTGCACTGAAAGGTTGCTCATTTGAAACCTGGTCAAGGCACATGTCTGGGTTGTAGGTTCAATTCCCCAGTAGGGGGCATGCAAGAGGAAGCCAACTGATGTTTTGCTCTCACATTGATGTTTCTCTCTCTCCCTCTCCCTCTCCCTTCCTCTCTCTCTCTCTAAATATCAATAAAGATATATATATTTTTTAAATAATATTTTAAAAAAAGAAGAAGACTAAGGCATAGCACCTACCTTCAGGTAGTACACACTGTAACAACTGGGAAAGTCATGACTGTCATGGGACTGGTATCACACTCATGTTATGAACAAGGGGCTCAGGGGAACAAAGGAGAATACACCTATTTGGAGAGGAGGACAAGAATTGAGAGAACAGGTGACATTTGAATTGGGCATTACTAGGTGAGTAGGAATTCTTTAATAAAGAAGTGGAGGAAAGGAGAGTTCTGGGGGGGAATAGCATACACAAAGCATGTGAACATGCACAGTGCATGCAGGGAATGGTGAGGTCTAGGGAGCTGGAGCACAAAATTTGGGGAAGAGGAAGAAAAGTCAGAATGTAGTCAGATTGCAAATAATCTTGAATGTCATTCTAAGGACTTTATCCCTTAAGTTTTAGGGAAACCACCAAGGTTTTTTAAAGAAAGCGATGATAAAATCAGTCCAATATTTTGGCAAGAATGCCCTGGTGTCAGCAAAGAGGATTATTTTAAGGGGGAAGAGTTTTGGAGATATTGCAATAATACAAGCAAGCAGTGGTGAGAGCCTTAACTAAAGCCAGGGTACTGGAAACTAGGAGAAAAGAAGGCTTTTATAATAAGAGGGGTTCTGAGGCTATTTTTAGAAAGATTACTCTGACATCTTGAGAAGGAATGACCTAGAAACAGGGTGACCCCTGCAGATTTTATAAATAAGGCGAGAGATGCTGGGGCCTGAGTGAAACGTAGCAGAGGAGACAGGTTTGAGAAATGCTCCAAATAGCTCTGGGAACATAATGCATAGTATTTGATGATCTATTAGTCCAGAGACATGGTTTCCACACTATGGTCCCCTGACCAGCAGTATCAGTATTGGCATAATGTGAGAGCTTATTAGATATGTACATTTTTAAGCCTTACCCCAGACCTACTGAATCAGAAACTCTGAGACTGAGGCCCAGCAATCTGTTTTTAACAAACCTGCCTGGTGATTCTGATGGGAGCTCAAGTTTGAGAACCATTAGCCTAGGGGCATAAAGGAGGTGAGGTGTCACAGCAAGGGAGCTATAATAGGGATTAAGAGGCCAGACTTTGGAGAAAGACAGACCTGAGTTCAAATATTTGCTCTGCATCTTACCAGCTATGTGACAAGTAATGTGACAGATGTGTGACAAACTTTGGTAAGTTACTTAAACTCTTTGAACTTTAATTTCCTCATCTCCTAAATGGGGTAACATACTATTGCAATAATTTAGTAAAATAATTCACTGTAAAATGTTTTGCTTACTGACAGGCATACAGTATAAAGTGATTGTTAACAATTTTAAAAGAAAGAGCAATACCTGTGAAAGAATGTTCTATAGTAGACACATAAAATTTGAGGTAACCATGGTATAGCCCATGGCAGAAGCCAGGAGAAGGCTGAAAATGTATGTGGACTTCAGAGAGAGACTGAAACTGAAGAACTATATAGGAATGACACGGAATATAGGCAATAGCTACCACCACATGATTGGTCAAGATTAACCCAGAGGAACACAGAAAGGAAGAAGAGAAAAGTACACCAACACTGAAGAGTGGGGTGAGGAGTAGTCAGCGAAGGAGTTGGAGAAAGAAAAGACAGGACAAGAGGAGAACTAGGAGCCAATGAGGTCACAGAGGCCAAAGAAGAGTGTTAGAAGAAGAAGGTCAACAGTGTCAGTATTGTGTTTAAAGAGATAGGTAGGTAGGTAGGTAGGTAGGTAAGTTGGTAGCTAGATACATAGATGACAAGAAAGAAAGAAAGAAAGAAAGAAAGAAAGAAAGAAAGAAAGAAAGAAAGAAAGAAAGAAAGAAAGAAAGAAAGAAAGAGGAAGGCAACTTCATGGGGAAGTTATGAGGTGATTGGAAACTTTTGAAAAAGCATTCTTCTTGAATAATGGAAGCAGAAGCCTCACCCTAACAGGATTAAAAGAGAAATAAAGGTGAGGAGCAAAAATAGTCCTTGAAAAATTAAGCTGTGATGGAAGAAAAAAAATGGGGTGGCAAAATCAGTGGAGGTCAGAATATGAACAATATTTTTAAGGAAACAGGATAACTATAGAGTTGTGGGCTGAAGGAAGAAGCCAGTGATAAAGGAGAAATCAAAGATGAATAGAGGGGAGAGGAGGGGAGGGAAGGGCAGGGCAGGGCAGGGCAGGGCAGGGCAGGGCAGGGCAGGGAAGGGAAGGGAAGGGAAGGGAAGGGAAGGGAAGGGAAGGGAAGGGAAGGGAAGGGAAGGGAAGGAAGGGAAGGGAAGGGAAAAGAAGGGAACCAGGTAGAACCTTCAGCTTTGAAAAGGAAGTAATTTTTTTCTGAGACAGGAAAAATAACGAGTAAAGTTACAATTTGGGGATGAAGGAGGAGAATGGGGAAAAGTAAAAGTTGATGGTGCACATCTCAGAAGGTCTCTATTTTCTTAGAGAAATAGGAGATGAATTTAGCTTCCAAGAGCAAAGGAGATCATGACAAACTTGAGGACTTGAGGAAAGGCAAAGGCTTAGAACATCTGTTATAAGGACTGGAAACAGGAGCAAAGTAAGTGTGAGAGGGCCATTGCAGCAACACTGAGGGTTAGCACAGGGTTCAAAAAGCATCACTTGTTGTGGTGCTAACTACAATCTTAGGTAATCATCTCCAGCAATGCAGGTAAACAGGGTAATGAATAATAACAAGAAGGCTGCTGCTGATGTTCACAAAACAGCAATATCGACAACAACTAGCACGTGCCAAGCAATTCAGGAACTCTTTGGAAGCCAGTCTTATGTAATGATGAAATGAATGGGCTTGGCAGTCAGACCTCCTCGATTAGAATCCCAGCTATTCCACTTCAAGCTGTGTGACCTTGGTCAAGTTATGCAATTTCTCTGTATCTCAGTTTCATTATCTTTAAAATGGTCATAAAAATATGGTACTTAACTTATAGGGTTTTTGTGACAAATCAGTTAACTCATGTAGAGCATTTAGAACAGTGCTGGGCTTCATAAAGTTTCGTAACTTCATAAAGTTACAAAAATATCACAATTCTGAGCACATAATCAAGAATAAAACCATCCTTGAAAAGTATTAATATATTCATAATACTACCAAAGATCAAAAATAATCTCAGCTACCAACCGTACCTATGACAGACATCCTTTTTCTGATATTGTTGAAATCCAAAAAGGCAAGCAGCTGATAAGTAACTAGTGTTCCCAGTTCTTCTATTGTTATTGTCTCTGGGGTCCGAGACTTAAAAATGAATCCAAAATTTTTTGCAGCAGTCACGAGAGCCCCTTCATCAGGTGATTGAACTTGATAAATTAGCTGTCCTAAAAGGAAGAGAAACAAGTGGATTAAACAACAATGAAGAAAGTGTATTTAAAAAAAGGAAAAGAAACAAATGTATTCATACTAAAAATAATAACTGACATTCATAGAATGCCAATACCAATGCCAACTCATTCTTCAACACCCAACTCAATAACAGCTATAGAAATAAGATGTTTTTCTACTCATCAACTGGCTGGAACAGATGCTTATCCTAAGAGACATACATAACACCAGTGTGGCCCTTGTCATCTTATAAATAAACAATACCTGTTCCTGAGTCCACCTCTCCACTCTGCTGGATGTTTCTTAGGTCAGAGACCATACTTTTGTATTTTCAGTAACAAGAGATGTGCCATGAAGTTTTCATAAGCTAAAACACTTAGTATCTATTAACTCACATAATCCTCATAGCAAGCTTTGAGATTGAGGTTATTAAAATTATTATTTCTATTATATACTGGTAAGACTTATGACTGAAGAGGTTATGATTTGGCAGAATCATACAGCCAGTGACTAATGGAGCAGATATTCCACTTTACTCCACCACTGAAGACCTCTCCATGAGAAGGCATATAAGAAATGCCCTGAAATTTAAAGAATCAAACCAGATGTTAATCCTTGGCACCTGATATTGTATGTGTGTTGGGGTGAAGGTAAGAGAGGAGAGGAGAGGAAAAGAATGAAGACAATAACATAAAAATATACTTTAAAAAACAATATGTATAAAGAAAGCCCTTGTACATAAAATTAGTATGTTATCTTTGTATGTAAAAATAAATTAGAAAAGGTAGACAGAGCTAGCTCCATATTTACTGATTTATAGTGATGGCCAAGATAAATTGTTAAGAAAACAAGTTGTGTGTTAATGTTTATACCATGATTCCTTTTCATTAAAAACAAATACACCACCTACACATCTGGAACTGGAAAGGGTGAAATGTTTCATACCAAAGGTTACCAGCGGTTACCCCTATATCAGATTTATTAGAAATAGCACATAGAAATATTTAATAGATTTCAAGAAATAAAAGAGAGGCGTGAAACTGAGCAGATTTGAAAAAGAATTAACAGTCTCATAGAACTTAAGATCAAAAACTGCAGATTAGATACAATTAGAGAAAGAATTAGTGTACTGAAAAAGAAAAAGAAAAAAGAAAACTCCAGAATATATCTCAGAGAGGTAAAGAACTGAAAGCATAAGAGACTTGTTAAAAGACATAGGGAATATAGGTCCAGAGTTATACATTCATGGAACAAACTGACAGATCTCTGAGGGGAGGCAGATACAGGGAACAAGAAGAGATTAACCAAAGAACATATATGCATATATGCATAGCCCAAGGACATAGACAATAGCGCTGTTGAAGGTCTGGGGTGAGGCAGGGGCTGGGTGGAGGGAGGCAAAGGTGAGAAAAAATGTGGGACATCTGTAACACTGCCAATAATTTTAAAAAGGCATAGACAATAGAGTGAAAAAAAAATCTAACATTGAAGATCTAATATAAGAGGAAAAATTAGTCAGAGGCAATATTTGAAGAAATATATGGCTGAAGAAACTCCAGAAGAAACAAAAGATGACATTCTATAGATTCAAGAATCTCAATGAATCCCAAGCAATACAAATTTTTAAAAATTTCACACCTATACTAAGAACATGAAAAAAGAAAACATCTTAAACGTAGCCAGGAAGAAAAGACTGATTATCTTCCAGCCACAATTAGACTGACAGCTAACTATACAGTAATAGAAATAGCAGCCAGAATGCAGTGGAATGTCTTCCATGTACTGAGAGAAAATGGTCACCTTAAATTTCTACACACAACAAAACATCATTCAAGAATAAATATGGCCCTGGCCGGTTTGGCTCAGCGGTTAGAGCGTCGGCCTGCGGTCCTGAGAGACCCGGGTTCGGTTCCCGCTATGGGCACGTGCCTCGGTTGCAGTTTGTCCCCGGCCCTGGTCGGTTGTGCGGGTGGCAACCACTCGATGTATCCCTTCATATCGATGTTTCTCTCTCTCTGTTCCTCTCTCTCCCTCCCACTCTACCTGAACAAAAAATGGAAAAATGTCCTCGGGTGAGGATTAAAAAAAAAAAAAAAAAAAAAGAATAAATATGAAATAATGTTGTTTTCAGACAAAGTTTTCTAGAGTTTGCTACCAGCAAGCTCTCGCTAAAGAAAATTCTAAAGAATACACTTTAGGTCAACAGAAGACCAGAAATGGGGCAAGCATTGTAGAGCATAAAAATTAGTAAGTACATGAATAAATCTAAGCAAGCATTGGCTATAAAAACAATAAAAATAACATCTTGTGATATTAGGAAAGAAGATACATGAGAAGAATACTACATAAGTCAGACAGGATTGATTAGTATTGAAGTGTTTTAAGGTTCTTGCTTTGTTCAAAAGAAGGCTTAAGCTTCAGTAAGTTAATTATGTTAACATTTCTAGACTAACCACTAAAACAATATAAATAAGGATATAGTATTTCCAAAGCAACAAAAGTAAAAATGAACTAAATCTATAAGACCAAAAAAAAAGAAGAGACTAAGAAACAAAAATGGGACTAATATAACATTCAAAATAAAATGGTAGAAATAAATATAAATATAAAAAGTATACATGGAATACTTAAAATCTAAACATATCAATAAATGTAAATGAATTAAATGTTCCATTTAACCTTTAGTTTTGTCAAACTAAATATTTTTTAATGGCAGAGATGCTGATTCATATTAAAATTATGTCGCTTATAAGAGACGTGTCTAAAGACACAAAAAAAGGACAGATTAGCAGGAAAGAGCGGGAAAAGCTAAACAATACAAATACTAACAAAAAATAACATCCACAGCTATATTAACATCAAATAAAATAAACTTTAAGGCAAAAATATTACTAGAGATAAAAAGGATCAATATATGTATATTGATAGAAGTTTAAAAGAACACACAAGTCTAAACAATATCTAACTACTAACTTGACCTTAAAAGATCAAATATTGACAAAACTACAAATAGAAGTAGACTAATGCACCATTGTAATGGATGATTTTAACATACTCTCATTGAGAAATAGTCAAAATAACCCAATGATAGATAGAAGATTGAACAATGCAATTAACAAACATTATCTAATTGATATATAGAGAACCCAGTACCCAATAACTGTAGAATGTACATTCATTTCAAGCACACATGAAACACTTATAAAAATTGAATACATACCAGGCCATTAAATAAATCTCAACAAAATTTAAAGGACTGCTATAATAAGATGATAAGAAAAATATCCTAAATTTTTTATCTCTTTAATTGCCATCCACTAAAATAGAAAAAAAAAAATCCTACTGAAGCACTTATACTTTCCACTTTTCTGCTTCTGAAATGTCATCCTGGCAAAGGGGATGAAAACATCAACTTCCCCAAATTACTTCTCCATGAAACAAATAGCACACACTTAAAATAAAAGTCATTGATAAAGAAGAGGCAATATATAATATTATATTATATTATATTATATTATATTATATTATATTATATTATATTATATATATAATGAAATATCATACAGCAGTAGAAAAGAACAAAATCTTGCCATTTGCAACAACATGGATGGATCTAGAGGGTATTATGCTAAGTGAGATAAGTTAGGCAGAGAATGAAAACAAAACAGAACAAAGACAGACTCATAGAAGACAGAGACCAAAGGGATGATTATCAGAGGGAGGGGTGGGAAAAATGGATGAAAAGGGGAAGGGGAATATAGTCAATAATAATGTTATAAGTTTGCACGGTGACAGATAATTACTAGAATTCATGGAGTGGTCACATTATAAGGTATAAAAATGTTGAATCACTATATTGTATACCTGAAACTAATATAATCAATATAAGATTGTACATCAACTATACTTAAATTAAAATAAATAAAACAAAAGCAACACCCTCAAATATAAACTATACAATCATTATAGTTTTAAGTTTATTAGATTTGGGTTCTGTTCTTTTGCATAAAGAAAAGTTTATACTTTTCAATGTACTTTAACATACATGCATTTAAGTTATCTAGCCTATAAAATAAATCTTTTTGAAAAGAGCAAATGTAATTTCCCCCTTCTCAGTGATACAATCCTTCACTTTAGAATTGGTATCTCAAAACATGAGACAGAAATCATTGAAAAGATACATACATTCACCTCTCTGTACTTCAAAATATCTTTATATGACAGAAGAGGTATTAGCCAATACCACTAGAATGGGTAAGAATACGAAGGAACTGGCATTCTTGTGAATTGATGGTAGAAATGTAAAATGACACAACCATTTTTGAAAAATATTTGGGCAGTTTCTTACAAAATTAAACATACCTACACTATGATCTGGCAATTTCCATTAAGTATTTACCAAAAATAAATTAGTTAAATATTTTTAAAGACATCAATGTTTATGGCAGGCTCACTCATACTAACCCAAAGCTGGGAACAACCCAAATGTGCATGAACTGAGAATCGAAAAGAAAATAAATGTGGTATATTCAAACAATATAACATTACTCAGGCATAAAAATAGAATGAAGTCTTATTGACTGATACAACATGAATAACAAAAACATTACATTGTGTGAAATATGCCAGACACATAAGAATACATATTGTATGATTTCATTTATATAAAGTACAAGAATAGGCAAAACTCATCTTTGATGATAGAAATCAGGACAGTGGTTGGTTGGCCAGGGGTTGGTGTGTGGACTGGAAAGAGTAATCTTTCTGGAGTGATGGAAAATATTTGTATCTTAATCAGGGTGGTGGTTACAAGGGTATATATACTTGTCAAAAGATCTGTGTGTTTTACTGCATTTAATTATATTACATTATAAAAACAAATTTTAATAATACTAGAATAGAGGAATGAATATGATCATTAACTAGAAATTTGAGAAATGTCTGAAAGATAAAAAAAGTAGATTTGATCAATAAAGAAATAAAAAGAAAAAAAGTAGCTCAAAGCATTGCAAAAGAAAATGAGTGCAGTCCAGCCGGTGTGCCTCAGTGGTTGAGCATTGACCCATGCACCAAGAGGCCAACAGTTCGATTCCCGGTCAAGGCACATGCCCAAGTTGTGTGCCCAATCCCCAGAGGGGGGCATGCAGAAGGTGGCCAGTTGATGTTCTCTCTCATTGACATTTCTATCTCTCTCTCCCTCTCTCTTCCTCCCTCTCTAAAATCAGTAAATGAAAAAAAAAAATTTTAAAAAGAAAATAAATGCAGAGATAAGAGCAACCCTCCAAGATTCTTCAAACTCAGAGTCAACAAAAGAAGAAAGCAAAAGTGGTCTTGGGGAATCATTGGTAAAATTAGCTGAATTCCACTCAGCACTCCTGGACCATTTGGGCTCCTCCTCCTGCCAGCTTAGTCTTAATAACAGGCTGCAGTGACATTTGCTCCCAGGATAAAACCTTGAAATGTTCTTCAACACAATGTGTATAACTCACCTAAGGAAACCACAAAGATTGAAATGCTGGGTCTGGAGACCAGAGCTGAGAAGAGCCTAAAGTAGCTTTAGAATGTCACAAGGATAACAGAAAGAAAATAAGGAAAAGGAATTTAATGACTCTAATATCTCCTTCCAGCACAGACCTTACGTACAGCTCTCTCCCAGTTGGGAGTTCTGGCACAGACTCCTAGCACTAGATCTGAAGAAAGAAAGTTAGCCCAGGAAGCATATGAATTCCAGGAGGGAGGAACTCCACGCCCATGACAAGCCATGTGTTTGCCCCTCCCCAGCAATCTTGGCAGACAGGCCACTGTGATCAGAACCTACTTAACCAAGAGGCAAACAGGGATTCTCAAACACAAATGAGAACAGGCAACCACAAATCATCAAACGTTTGAAAACAACATAAAAGCTAGACTCAAAACGCAAATAACAACAATCCATAAAATAAAACATAATAAAACAAAAGAAAATGTTTAATTAAGTGTAATTAATAACTTGAGAGATCTAAGAAAATATAACAACATTAAAAACAGATTGCAATTAAAATAAAGAAACTTTGGAAATAAACTCAAAGACAGAAATGTTTTTAAACTTACTTAAAATTATTGTGATATCCTTAGATAAAAATATAATAAATTATTATTGGCATTATTACTATAAAGATAAGTTTAAGTCATAAATATAATTATGTGAATTCTCATAGCAATAAAATTCAGATGGCTGGGTTAGTTTAGCATCATCAAGAACAAAACTATGGCTTAAATATAGTCCCAACAAGGAAAATATATATAATATACACCTATATACATACACACATATGTACATATATTCAATGTATAGTCTATATATACAGTATTTCACTTTTGAATTGAATTACTTGGGTGGTACTTTTAGGTCAATAGTTGGTGATAGAAAGAAAAAATAACTTGCAAATAAAATAGTCTGGGATTGATTGGAACAAAAAGCCGATTTCTTAATACCATTATCTACCCACCTCATCACTTCAATATTAAAGTGGCCCAGTTGATTTTGTTCTATTCTAGGAACTCTGAGCTCTAAAAACCAACTTACTAGTGTGAGAACTTGTTCATAACGGGGACTGTATGAGCATTCTTTTATCAGTGTAAATCTATTCCCATTTCTTGGAAAATTCATCCTAAGCATATACCTGATGGTCATCTGCATCTATTAAATGTGCATGTTAATAATGAGAGATAAGTGGAAAACACTCAGGGTATAAATAAATATAAGAAAAGCTAGTATGATAGCCCCTTATGCAGAGCTGAATTTTTAATTAGAAAATCCTTCCAATTCTAAACACTTTAAATAAAAGTATCAGTTCTGACTTAAAAACCAAGGCTCACTGCTCAGCACACTTTCCACTTACCTGCACTGTTTTCCTCCGACATTACGGTGTGGCAGAGAGCAAGTAACCTCAGGAATTCATGCACTTTGGGATCGCCCAGTTTAATGGATTCCATCAGACAGTGGTCAAAGAACTGAAATGTTTTATCAACTTGGGGGTTGACTGAAAAATCCACAGCCTTTTTTTTCTGTAGGAAAACAACAACAAAAAGAGCTAGAGACTTTGTTTCAACAATAATCTTTTAAAATTCAAAAACATTTTCTCTCAGCATTTTTAGTGCTTATATGATTTTTCAGCCTCAAACACCTAGCAATAAAACGGCTTTCTGTTTTCTCATTAGTGTTAAATATTATCTTCTCAATTCAGAGCCGTGTAGCAGACAGTGAACCTTCCAAAAGCACATGGGGGAAAAATACATCCAATGGCTATAAAGATTCTCACATGCTTATTGCAGCTCCAAAATACAACGAAGCCCTGAAAACTGAATATTTTTTCCCAAAACTTACTCAATAGCAAAACCTGACCAGACTTGAACTCATTTTGGTAGCAAAATCTGACCTGAGATAATATGTGAATTAATACTTTGATGCAAAGTTACTGTGTTTGACTATAGAATACCTTTTCAGATCTCCCTGGCACTATTGCATAATATAATGACAGAATTAAAATCAGGATCTTGAAGAGACATTTGTATTCATATGTTCATTGCAGCATTACTCACAATAACTAATAAATAGAAATAACATAAATGTCCATCAACAGACGAATGGATAAAGAATATGTGGTATATGATCCAAGATGGTGGTAGAGTAGGTGAAAAGTAAATTCACCTCCTCTCAAAACCAAAGTAGAATTACAACTAAAATATAGAACAGTCAAGCTGGATAACCAACCAAAGACTAGCTGAACAGGAGTCTTACAACCAAGGTATACAGAAGACATCACATTGAGACTGGTGGAGATGTGAAAAAAGGTGGACCCACTCTCAGGGGTGGTGTTTGAGATCCTGGAGGGATATCTCAACTACAAAGGTTCCCCCTGAGGAGCATGGGGTCTCAAGCCCACACTGGGCTCTCCATCCCAGAGCACCAAAGCTAGGAAGAGGCATCCACAAAACATCTGCCTATAAAAATCAGCAGAGATTCTGTCCATCAGGGGGAGACATGAGTCTGCTAGAAACACAGACACCCTCTTAAAGAACCAATGCACAAAATCTCATTCACAGCCACTCACCCTGGGCTCCAGTGGAGGGAGGGCAGAGTAGCCTAGAGTCACATGCAGGTGAAGGCAAACAGACGTGGAACTTTGGATGCCTTAGGACTTTAGCTGACCTGCCCTCGGGCCTGGTGTGGATAAAAGCCAGCCTTGGTATGCAACTTGGTCCTTCTCTCACATACCCAGGACCAGCAGAGGCAGCCACAAATTTGGATTACTTTGTAGCTCCAAACAGGTGGCCCAGGGCCAGTCACAGGCAGCATCTGACATTGACTTGCACCAGAGTCTTCCTCAACAGACCCCAAAATCAACACACCCAGTGGCGAGCTTCAGAATACATCAGAGAAGGATCCAATTACCTTCACAACCAGCATATCTAAAGGGATCAATAACTTATTTGAAGAAATAAAGACTGAAAAATTTCCTAACATGTGAAAGGAAAAAAGCACACAAGTCCAGGAAGCACAGAAAGTCTCAAACAAGATAAACCCAAAGAGGCCCACAGCAAGATACATCATAATTAAAATGGCAAAGGTTAAAGACAAACAGAGAATCTATAAAGCATCAAGAGAAAGACATTTGGTTCCTTTCAAGGGAGCTCCCATAAGACTGTCAGCTGATTTTCCAACAGAAATATTTGGGAATATTTCAGTCGCTTTTGGCCTGAAATATTCAAAGTGATAAAAAGCAAGGACCTACAACCAAAACTATTTTAACCAGCAAGGTGATCAAGGAGTTCATTACCACCAAACCAGTATTACAAGAAATGTCTTAGGGTCTTCTTTTAGAAGAAATAAAACATGCCCTGGCTAGTTTGGTGCAGTGGTTAGAGCTTCAGCCCATGGACCCAAGAGTTGCAGGTTCAATTCCAGTCAAGGACACATACCTCGGTTGCGGTTCAGTCCCTGGCCCTAGTCGGAGTCATGCAGGAGGCAACCAGTCGATGTGTTTCTCTCACTCCTCTCTCTCTCTCCTCTCTCCTCTCTCCTCTCTCCTCTTTCCTTTCTCCTCTCTCCTCTCTCCTCTCTCCTCTCTCTCTCCTCTCTCTCTCCTCTCTCCTCTCTCTCTCTCTCTCTCCCTCCCTCCCTCCCTCCCTCACACTGTCTGAAGATAAATGAAAAATGTCCTCATCCTCAGGTGAGGATTAAAAAAAAAAATACATAGGGTAGCTGAATGAATAAGAAAACAAGATCCACATACATGCTATCTACAAGAGACCCACCTTAGAATAAAAGATACACACAAACTAAAAGTAAAGGGCTAGAAAACTATATTTCATGCAAATGCAAATTTAAAAAAAAGAGAGAGAGCTTGGGTAGCAATGCGTACATCTAACAAAATAGATTTTGAAACAAAGGCTATAATACGAGACAAAGAAGGACACAATATAATGATAACAGGAACAATCCAACAAGAGGATGTAATGCTTGTAAATATTTATGCACCAAACATAGGAGCAACTAAATATGCAAAGCAAATCTAGATGGACATAAAGGGAGAGATCAACAGAAGTATAGTCATAGTAGGGGATTTAACATCTTATTGACATCAATGGATAGATCTTCCACACAGAAAATCATCAATGAAACAGAGGACACTAAACCTGATAGATTTAATTAATATCTTCAGAGCATTTCAACCCAAAGCAGAAGATACATTCCTTTCAAGTGCATATGGAACATTTTCTAGGATAGACCACATGTTGACACAGAACAAGTCTCAATAAATTTAAGAAGATTGAAATCATATCAAGCATCTTCTCTGACTATAATCATATGAGACTAGAAATCAATCACAAGAAAAAAAACCTGAAAAACACACAAAAATATGGAGGCTAAATAACATGTTACTAGACAATAAATGGGTTAACAATGAGATCAAGGAAGAAATCAAATGATATCTTGAAAGAAAGAAAAATAAGAACCCAACAACCCAAAATCCTTGAGGCATAGCAAAGGCAGTTTTAAGTGGGAAGTTCATAGCTTTATAGGCCTATTGCAGAAAACAAGAAAAATCTCAAATCAACAATCTAACTTTACACTTAAAGGAGCTTAAAAAAGAAATACAAACAAAGTCCAAAGTGAGTAGAAGAAAGGAAATAATAAAGAACAGAGCAGAAATAAACAAAACAGAGTCTAAAAAAAATACAAAAGTTCAATGAAACAAAGAGCTGGTTCTTTGAAAAGATAAATAAGATAGGTAAATCTTTAACAACACTAATCAAGTTAAAAAGAGAGTAGACCCAAATATAATAAGAAATGAAAGAGGAAAAGTAACAATTGACACCACAGAAAAAAAAGGATTGTAAATCAATATTGTGAACAACTATGTGCCAACAGATTGGACAATCTGAATGAAATTGAAAAATTCCTAGAAACATACAATATTCTGAAATTGAATCAGGAAGAATCAGAAAATCTGAATAGACTGATTACAACCAATGAAATTGAAGCAATAATAAAAAAAAAAATTCCAAAACACAAAAGTCCTGGACCAGATGGCATCACAGCTGAATTTAACCAGTCAAAGAGGAACTAACACCTATCCTTCTCAAACCATTCCCAAATTTCAAGAGGAGGGAAGACCCCCAAACTCATTGTAGGAGGCCAGCATTATCCTGATTTCAAAACCAGATAAAGACACTACAAAGAAAGAGTATTATAAGCCAATATTCCTGATGAACATGGATGCTAAAATTCTCAATAAAATATAATCAACCTGGATCCAGAAATACATTAAAAAGATCATACACAATAATCAAGTGGAATTTATTCTGGGGATCCAAGGTTGGTACAATATCTGCAAATCAATAAACATGATACACCACATAAACAGGATGGGTAAAAATCACACAATCACATCAATAGGTGCAGAAAAAGCTTTTGATAAAATCCATCACCCATTTATGATAAAAATTATCAGCAAAGTAGAAATAGAGGAAACATACCTCAACACAATAAAGGTCATATATGACAAACCAAAAGCCAATATACTCAATGAGCAAAAACAAAAAGTGTTTCCTTCAAGATCAGGAACAAGATAGGTGTCCACTTTTACCACTGTTATTCAACACAGTACTGGAAGTTCTAGCCACAGTAATCAGACAAAAAGAAGAAATTAAAGGCATCCAAATTGGAAAGGAAGAAGTAAAACTGTTAGTATTTTCAGTTGACATGATACTGTATATGGAGAACCCTGAAGATACCAACAAAGCCCTGGCCAGTTTGCTCAGTGGTTAAAGCATCAGCCCATGGAGCAGAAAGTCCTTGATTGCAGTTCATCCCTGGCCCCAGTGAGGTTGTGCATGTGGCAACCAGCCGATGTGTCTCTCTCACATCAATGTTTCTCTCTTCTCTCTCCCTCCTTCTCTCCCTCTCTCCCTCCCGCTCTATCTAAAAATAAATGCAAAAATGTCCTCGGTTGAGGATAAAAAAAAGAAAATTAAAAAAAAAAAAATACCAACAAGAAAACTACTACACCTGATAAATGAATTCAGTAAAGTAGCAGAATACAAAATAAATATAAAGAAATGTGTTTCATTTTTACACAACAATAATGAACTATCAGAAAGAGAAACTAAGAAAATAATTCCATTCAAAATTGCATAAAAAAATACCCAGGAATAAATTTAACCAAGGATATAAAAGACCTGTACTTGTAGAATTATAAGGCACTGAAGAAAGAAATTGAAGAAGATACAGATCAGTGGAAACATATACCATGTTCATGAATAGGAAGAATTAACATCATTAAAATGTCCATACTACCCAAAGCAATCTATAGATTCAATGCAATTCCTATCAAGACATCAATGGCAGCCCTGGCCAGTTTGGCTCAACGGTTAGAATGCTGGCCCATGGACTAAGGAGTTGTGGCTTTGATTCTGATAAAAGGCACATACTTTGGTTGTGGTTCAGTCCCCGGCCCTGATTGGGGTCATGCAGGAGGCAGCTGGTCGATGTGTCTCTCTCA